AAGCTCTCGTTCGACCCCCTCGCCCGTTTACTCGTCAGCTACCAGCACATCACCTTCTACCCGATCATGATCGTCGCCCGAGTCAACCTCTACCTCCAGACCTTCCTCCTCCTCTGCTCCAAAAATCGAAGAGTTCCCGACCGAGCGCTAAACATACTCGGCATCCTCGTCTTCTGGACGTGGTTCCCGCTACTCGTCTCGTGCCTGCCCAACTGGACCGAGCGTGTTCTGTTCGTGCTCGCCAGCTTCGCCGTCTGCTCGATCCAGCACGTGCAGTTCTGTCTGAACCATTTCGCGGCGGACGTGTACGTGGGGGCGCCCAAGGGAAACGACTGGTTCGAGAAGCAGACGAGCGGGACCATAGACATATCGTGCTCGACTTGGATGGATTGGTTTTTCGGGGGGCTGCAGTTCCAGCTGGAGCACCACCTGTTCCCGAGGCTGCCGAGGTGCCACCTCAGGAGCGTGTCGCCTGTGGTGCAGGAGCTCTGCAAGAAGCATAACCTGCCCTACAATAGTCTGTCGTTTTACGAGGCAAACAGATGGACGCTGAGGACATTGAGGTCGGCAGCGCTTGAGGCCAGGGACTTCTCGTTGCCTGTGCCTAAGAACTTGCTGTGGGAAGCTGTGAACACGCACGGCTGAAGGATTGTCGATTTTTGTTGCGTGGTTGATTGATGTTTTATTCTAGTTTAGGGCCGTTTGAATTTGAATGATAAGGTGCCCATATGGGAAGCTCTAACAATTTGTATTTTTATCTGTTTATCTGAGACTGCTTTTTATCTCTTTATTTTTTTTCCTTTATTATTATAGACACTAGTGTTGATACCCGTGCGATGCACGGGGTATACTATAGATTAATATTTTATTATTAAAATATTATTAATTTATTTAATACAACATGATAATTGTACCAGACTCAATATATCAAGTCAGTGATAAATATAAGTTTTGTTTGGATATCTTTTATAATTTATTTTACAGGTTTTGACTATTTAATATATAAATCTAACTATTTATAATTTTATAAAATAGTATCGATATCTAGATATTAAATATGATGTTTGTATACAATTAATGGCTTACAAATACTTGTAAAATTACTGATTATCTTAATTTTATAACTTTTTGAACAAATCATATTTTGCATATGCTCGATAGCTAACTAATGTTTTAACCGTAAAATAAATTTTACGTTATTCTAATTTTAGATGCATGAAATAATAATTGTTTGATAATTAAATTTAAATTGTAGTAACTTTAATCGCTTATGCAACACATTTTTTCCATAGTAAACTATTTATTTTTATTTTAAATTTTTTCGTATATATTTATATATTTACTAAATATGTTCAACATATATAATGAGTGTATTAATATCTAATTTAAATGTTTAGATAAATTATATATTTCAATTATTATCAAATGCTATAATTTTTAATTATGATATTTGACTATATATATTATCCTATTTACTCATTTTTCTTTATTAAATAGTATATAATAAGAATATGCTTTTTACAACTTAATCTTTTTTTTTTTATGTATGCATATATTTCCAATGTTTATAATTCTTAATTTCACACGACCATCAAATAATAATTTTATTAAGATATTAAATTTGATTTTCAATAGTATATCTAATAAAATAATATATTCAATGAACATAAACTTTTTAATGGTTATGTTGACTATACTTTGTTATTACTATAAGTTATTCATTAAGTTAATATGATCCAAACACAATTATTCTGATTATTTGTTAGATATTTTAAGTACTTCTGATAGGTTATTATACTTAATAAAGTTAAAATCTACATCCATGAGATAATAATATAGTTAATCAAATCAATATTTCAAAATTTGAATAGTGTTTTTAATTGTGTTAAAAATTACTACGAAATTAATATTAGGTCTTATTGAAAATATATGTCATCAATCAATATTATATTTAACTCAATTGATAAATAATGAATAGTAGTCAATGAGTAAACAAAAAATAATTAATGTTCATGTATACAATTTGCTAATAGATAAAGGCTAAGTATATGCTAAATATAAATGAAAAATATTTTTCCGCCTAAAATTATGTCAATTATAATAATAAAGATTGGTCCATTATATAGATATAGATAACGATATAAATATAGATATAGATATTTTTAAAATAGTATAAAAGAAAACTTATATATTTTTAAAAAATTAAATAGCTTTTCTCTTACTGTGCATAGATATTTCAAATGTGAAATTTAGAATCATAAGTTGCACCCCAAAATTTTATCTGTATTAGTATATTATTTAAATTATTAATAGTATTATCACTGCATATAATGTATTTAATAGGGATGTACCTTTTTATAACTAAATTGACTATATTTTATAAACCTTTATTAATATTTTAAATTATTTATTAAGTTAGTGTGATTTAAACATAGTTATTTTGATTATTTTATTATATAGTTTAAGTGCTTCTGAATAGTAAATATAATTAACTAAATTAGTTTCTACAACCATAGATGATAATATATTTAATCAAATCAATTTCCATAATAATTTTTTGAATTGTGTCAATAAATTACTATTAAATTAATATAATATCTCATTGAAAATATATCTAATAAAACTACGGTCAAAATTTAAATTTAATACAATTTGTAGTTACTGAGTAGTAGTCACTGAGTGTATAAAAAATAACATGTTTTTCATGCATAAGATTTGCTAATAAATAAATTTTAATTAAATTTCAAATATAGACTAAAAAATTTCCCGCCTAAAATTATGTTAATTATAGCAATAAGGATTGGTCCATTATATAGATATAGATGATACATATATATATTATTAAATATATGGTGAAAAGTCATATTAAATTTTATTTTTTACATTTTCATACTGAATGATTCTCATAATTATATTGATTTTTTATTTTTAGAAAAATTGAAACTAAAATTTATGATTATTTTTATATAGAATGTTTACTTATAATTCTTAATTTAATAGCTTTTAAAAACTTCAAATATAATAATTATATTACGCATAGGCGGCACTAATTGAAAATTGAATCAGGCTGAATAATAGTGCACGGCGTAATAATTATATTATGCATAGGCACTTCTTGAAATTTGAATCAGGTTGAATCATAAGCCTCATAATAATTATTTTATGTGTAGGCACCAATTTTCATGATATTTATATTATGCATAGGCACTAATATGTATTATATCATTTAATTCAATCACTAAATATGTCAGTAATTAATTAATATCGTCTTTTAAGTCAAAAAATACTTATTATATATTAAATTGAGAACTAATTATCATGAATGATTTAGTAAATCAAAAGGGCAGACATACTAATTATAAACTTATTTCTAAAAATCAAGTCATAGAAAATACTTAGTATTAAATTGTTAACTAATTATCATGAATGATTTATTAAATCTAAAAGGCAAACATACTAATTATATATTTATTTCCAAAAATATTGTTGATACCATTTCCAAAAGAAGCATTTACTGCTATCATTAGTAACATCAATTCCATCAACTCCCTCTTTATATATATATAGATATAGATATTGGTATTTGGTACATTTTTATATATATATAGATATTGGTATTTGGTGAAAAAATGTATGAAAGATGGTGTGTTGTTATTACATGTTTGTAGAGACTGTAGCTTTTGGAGAGAGCAGTAATTCTATGGAGCAATCGGATGGCTCCGTTATGGAGCCATCCATAATTTTATATATTGACACATGTCCAATGTGCATTTATTGTAGGACACGTGTCAATACATTATTTGTGAACAACAATGGATGGCTCCATAAGCCGAGCTATCCGATGGCTCCATAGCAAAACCGTTGGAGAGAGAGCTTCAATATTCTTCTCACGAGTCACGAATTATTGGTTTTCCTGTTTCCTTTTTTATTTACTATACACATGTAATGCCTAAAAGACGACGAGGAAAATGTTAAGGTCCCGTTACGGAACTATTCCGTCGGTATTCAGAGATAGTTGATCTAATGGTTACAAACCCGATGGAATGCTTTCGCAATGGGACCGTAGCAGCTTCCATGAAATATAATAGAACACCAAATTCAACCATGAAATATCTCTATGAAACATTAAAAATTAACTTAAACAAAGATCCATCTGATGTTCACCATGAGATATCCCTATGAAACATTAAAAATTTAAAATAAAGACCTATCTGATGTTCACAGCAAAATTGCTCAAAAATTGCACATTATCACGTCACGGTAAATACTGCCTTTCCAAAATAACGGGACTTCAAACGTTGGGCACGCTTTATTGCTCGTGCCTGGGTCCATTTTTTACGTCTCTTTAACAAAACAGATCCACACTTTTCCTTCAGGGAGTTGTTGGCAGCACATTGACGAGGCTTTTCTTCTCTATAGTATTCGCTCTCTGTGTCAATTGTTACTGTTTCCAGATTTTGAGCAAGTTTAAGTAACTGAAATACAAACATGACGTCATACGAACACCCAACAAACCCACTTATTTTCACCGTCTTTAGGTTTTTGTGACGGCATCTATAGCGGTGAAACTCTGGAAGCACTTCAGGAAATTCACCACTCTGTCATGAACGAAGAGCCAACTTGTCAAATAAGAAGAAAAGGCAAAAAGAATGATATACACGCATATATATGTACGTTACTAAAAGAATAAAAACCGTTAAATTAAATACCAGGTACGACTTGCTTTTTCTGACGTAGGTTATCTGCGAAGAAAACAGGTTTGCAAGTCGAGCATAAGTGAATCGTTAGAAGAGAAGAAAATAAGCTGTAAGAAAACTCGATTATGCTTGTGTCCACTCAAACGCATATGCTGTTTGCACTCTGATTTATAAAATGCAATGAAGTGTTAGACAAAATCTAGGAATGACGGAGATAACTCGATTATGCTTGTGTCCACTCAACAAGTGACTGCTTCTAAATATCCATACTATCAAGTAAAGACCAGTGTGTGCCTGCGTGTGTATTATTAATATGAACAGGCTATTCAAAACATAGTAGTAAAAGCAATTTTCCAACCTTTTACTTAATGAATGTTGCAGACATTAGTTAAGCTATCAATATAACGATCAAATTTTACAAGGCATTACGTACCATTAGGCATTAGATAACCTCTGATTTTAAATATTATTTTATGTATTAATATTATTTCATTCGTTTATGTATCCCGTTCACATGACTAAGTATTAGTTAGTAGTTATGATTAACAACAGAAGTATTGAACTAATTGAGAAAATAAAAGAGAGAAAAGAAAATAAAAAATGAGAAAGAATAGCGAAAAGAAGGTGTCGTTCTATTTATTTCACATGGACAACAGCACACTCGAGGGGGTGCTTGTTAGACAATAAGAATACCAGTTGTAAGAAATGTTAGGATATTTTTTTTGGCGTACTATTTTGTAATCAGGCTAAAGTCTCCGGTTAGTTTTTGTGATTATAACGTCTGAGCTTAAAGGTGTAAAGTTCAATGAATCCAAATGGGGGGCAAGTACTAGCTGAAGCAACAGCAAAAGAACCTGAACAGAAACAAAGAACATGCGAATCATCAAGTTGTGAAGATTGCACTCACCTTCATCCTAAATTCGGTCAATAAAGGAGCCGCCTTAATCAATGAGATGAAGAAGTATATGCTCTTAAGGGTGGACGTAACATTCAACTCCAGATGCTTGAGAGAGCATAGTTTTGGCAAATCAGGAGGAGGAAGTCCGAATTCTAGAGGGCTACGGAACTGAAGCAAAAATAAAATAAAAAAAAAAGCACGTTTCATAATTGGTAAGACTAGTTTTCCAATTTATACAAGCGAGCAACAAGATAAGGGGAAGACAATCAAACCCGTGATTTGTGAATATTTAGTGTTAGTTTCTCCAGCTGGGCCGAATAACTCATGTGCTTGGAAGGCTCGTAAATAAAGAACTGGGCGAATTCACGACCAAGAGTCAGCTCGGACAGATTCGGGGCTTTCCTGAATGGAAAAATGGTATTCGATCCATTGTACGTACAAGAGACAATACTTGTGGCAGAAACTTCTAGTTTCCTGATAAAAGAACAATCTGAAATCTCCAAAACTTTTAAACTCGGCAAAGGATCCACAAATCGGAGTCTCTTGGTAGCCTTGGATTCCCTTATGCAAAGGTGTTCAAGATAAGGACACGAGGATAGAAAATGCCTGACCACCTTGTCCTCGATATCAACGCCCTCCAAGCTAAGGGACCTTAGGAATCCTAAACCAAACTTTCCACCGTCTGGCGAGTATGATAACAGTAGGTCGAGGTTCGGGAATTCATAGTGGTTTCCCGGGAAATTCAATTCAAGCATCTTTATTTCCTTCCACATGGCGGAATATATCCATCTGTCGATGTAGCCCGGGCGGCGACCGAAAGGGGATTTGTCACGCGCTGTACTAAAGTGTATGATTAGGCCGTCGAGAGTTGGGCCTTGATGAAGCTTCAGGACACGGTTGACCGAGGCAACGAATTTCCTGAACAAAGATTGTTTTCTAGCAACAATTTCTTTGCATATGACGCGTAGGTCCCGAACATCTATTTCGTCTTCATAGTGGTCGTTCTCCAACTTTAACATTTGGCGGTCGTCAAAGACAAGGATATCGTACGAGCAAGACCACAAGTATCTCCATCTGCGTGAGAGGAGACTCGACCTGGCGGCTTCCTTGGGACTGAGACGGGACAGGATGGCAATGATTATGTCATCTGGCAATTTGTTAAACCCAACATCATTATCAACTCCCTGCATTTATGTATACCTACATTAGTGCCAAGAACACAGATATGCACAGGCAGTAGTAAACATATTTCTAGTCAGAGATTATTTCCGTCCCTTGGGGGACATCCGATTAAATTGGAACAATACATAGAAGATTAGCATGGCCCCTGCGCAAGGATGACACGCATAAATCGAGAAATAGTCGGAGATTATTTCCTCCCAAATACCTTGTGCTTCCGCTTTCGTTTCCGGTTTTGTGTATCGGGATCGTCGGCTTTACGCTGCTGCCCGGAAGAAGTTCCGATGTCCATCTGACGCACATATTCCAATCAAGATAACAATCTGAATAAGTTCTTTTTAAAGAGGAAAAAAGACACGATCTTACGATTTTTCATGCATCTAAGTACGACTCTAACATTCAGTTGCATCTAAGTTAGGCCCAAATCAAGGAGAGACAAACAGGAATTTCGCGGCGGCAAAAGGACTTACCTGCGAAGAAGAGGAAGAGATGCTGGGCTGCTGCAGGTGAAACATTATAACATTATATGCTTCTTTTATAGGGTTAGAAATAGAAATTTTTTGTCATCCGAAACTATCAAAAATTTGCAGTTTATCGTAGCAAACAACCATATAACCCTTTTTTATTTTTTAATTTTTTTTAATTTTTTTTTT